GAGCTCCTGAAAACACTACCTGAGTGAGGGGTGGGGTGGGTGGAGAAGACAGCCAGGACCCCAGCACTGTCATGGTTGGCTGTGACCTCCTCCAGGGTCATCTCCAGGGTGGCAGGGGTGACAGCCTCACCCCAGCACTGAGCAACACACGACCACCCCCAAGAGGCTGGGTCACGTCCCAGCTGTGTGACCCCAGAAACTTCTGGCCCTGAGATCATCCTTGTACCATGGGAACCGAGCGCCCGCCTCCTGGGGACACAGGGAGAACCCACCAGACCACGCCTGGGATGCCCAGCAGGGCAATGGGTGAGTTCGGGAGGGAGGTGGCTGCTGTCCTGCCGCCCCCAGGGACAGACTCGGGGCTCTGAGGTGGTTGTGGACCTGGAAGCAGAGCTCCGAGCTGACCCGCACCCACAAGCCTGGCAGCCACAAATTCATTAGAAACCTCAGGGGCCTGCACCAGTCCACAAGGTCCCTGGTCGCCCTCCTACTGCCGCCATCAACCCAAACGTCCCGTCCTGCACCTCCACTACAGGAGGTTCACCGTGGCCACCACCTGCTTGCAGCCAGTGACAGCAAACTCGCGGCCAGCCACGCGGTAGAAGCTGAGCTGTGTGGCCAGGTCCTCCGCCCGGGCCTGGTCAGGAAAGAAGCCCTCGCCTGCCATCTCGTCCCGGAAGCAGCTGACCACATCCCGCTTGTCCAGCAGCAGAAACGGCACGATGGCCGCGGCCTGCCACAGCGGATGCTCCCGGGACAGCAGAGCCCACAGACTCGTGCGCAGGTCCTCTTCCGCCTGTGCCGCTGAGGCCTCGGCACTGCGCGCGCCGTCGGGGAGCAGGGGCAGCGCGCGGGACGCGTTCTGCAGCACGAAGCGCGTCACCTCGGCGCCACCCGCGCCACTTAGGAGCACGTAGATGGCGTTGTGGAAGTGGTGGGAGCGCTGCGGCTGCAGGAAGCCGTGCAGCTCGTCCAGCAGCGGCCGCGGCAGGAGCTCCACGTCGTCCAGCACCAAGAGTGGGGTCTTCTCCTCCGCTTCGGCCCGCGCCACCACATCGGCCACGCGCCGCGCCAGCTCCTCGCGGCAGTCTTGTGCGGCGCGCGCCTCGGGGCAGTGGTGCCGCGCGTGGTACTGCAGCACGAGCGAGCTGTCCTCCAACACCGAGCGGAAGTGGCGCGCCAGCAGGCGGCCCACGTGGCTCTTGCCCACACCACTGGGCCCGTGCAGCGCCAGGAGGAGCGGACGACTGTGCACGTGCGTGGCCAGGTAGTCCCGCATCAGCGCCACGATGCGCGCTATGGCTGCGGGCTGGCCAAAGACCGCGCGCTGCAGCGCCTTCTCCAGCCCATCGAGGTCATAGCGCTGCGCGTTATCGTCCAGGTTCTCGATAGCGTTGAGAACTTGGAAGCCCACGATGGCGACCAGCAGCAGCAGGCAGTGCTGCGCGCGGCTCCTGTGCTCCACGCGCGGTCGATACTTGCGCGAGGTCTCTGGGTAAAGCACCAGACGGCTGCGCCGGCGCTTCTTGCGTGGCGTCCTGGAGGGCAGCTCCGCGGGGCCGTCGAAGGTGAAGAACTGCGGCTGGTCCAGGTCCCCGCGGGGCGCCGGGGGGCTGCAGCCCGGCCTGGGCACCCCGGTCCCGACGTCGGGCCCCCCACCCAGCTGCAGGAGGCGCCGCTTGCGTAGGACGCACACCCGGCGGCGCAGGCGGAGCACGGCGCGCACGGGTGCGATCATGCACCGGCCCGTGGCTTGGGGGGCCGCGGCAGCAGGCTCCAGGCTGAGTTGGCCGCGGTCCATGGCGCAGGAACGGCGCTCCGCATACAGGTCGCCCTCCCTGCAACGGGAAGACGGGGAGGGTCTCTGGACTCCCGCCACCGCCCTTTCCCGCGGGTCGCCGGAACCGGTCCCCGGAGTGATCTTACCCCCAGGGAGTCCCGCAGGGTGTGCCCCGGGCTGCCCCAGTGCCAGGGCCTGGTCGCGGCCTCGTCCCTCAGACCGGGAAGCGGCCCCTCTGCAGGGCCCCGATGCAAATCTCTCGGGTCCTCCCATAAACGGCCGAGGGCCTTAAGGAAGTGGCGGGGTAGAGGCTTATCTGGTGGCCGCCCCGGCTTCCTGGAGGAGTCGTCGAAGGAGTCAGTGGCCGCCTAGGCGCCCACTGGGGCGAAGGACAGTCGCTCCCAGACCCTGCCCCCTCCCGCGGCTCCCACTGGACTGGGCCGTCTCCCAAGGAGGGGCCGCGGGAAGCAGCGGCCTGAGCGCCCAGGAGTTCAGAGACGCCCCTACACGCTCCAGAACACTTGGTGGGGGACTGGCTGGAACTTAGATTTTGAGAATAGCCCCGGGCCCCGTCCCCAGGCTCAGCCCAGGCCTCCCAGCCCCGACTCCAAAACTGGGGTCCTCCCAACACCCCTCCAGTGAACTAGCAGAGCAGCGCAGGGAGCCCCCCGGAGACCGGTGGAGGTTAGGGGAAAAGACGGACAGAAGAGTCGGGTCGGAGCAAGAGAGCCACTGACTGGCAGGAACTGGCCTGGGCCCTGGGCCCCAACCCACCCCTACCTGCAGCTGGTCCACTACCCTCAGCTCCGCCGCCCCCAGCCTGTGCCAGACGCCGGGGCCTGAGATTCCAAGCAGGAAATGCGCCTCCCAGGGCGAGGGGGTGGGCCAGGGGCCTCCTGGGCCAGCTCCGGCCTGGAGGGGCAGCGACACCTGCGGGTCCCCAGGGAGCGGCCGGCCCAAGCAGAGGAAGCTCCGGGGAGGTTTCCGCTTCTATGCAAAGGAAGTGAGTCAGGGGGTGCGGCCCAGGCGGGACTTGGGCTGGACGGAGGCGCCAAAGGGGGGAGGCCTGGCCGGCTTGCCCAGATCCCCTGGCCAGAGGTCACATCCCCTCTTCAGTACTCTGGCGCTCAGAGCCCTCCTGGCTTGGTCAGGCTCAGGACACCTGGTGAGGCCGAGGGCCCCTGCTGCGTGCCCTGTCCCCGCCCTGGGCTCCTGCACCTCAGCCTGTCCTCCACGGTCACCTCCCCCAGGTCATCCCTTCTACCTGACACCCCACACACAGGGCTTACAGCCGTGGGGAGGGGTCTCCAGGCCCTGTGTAAGCAAGGGGGGAGCAGGGCAGCCGCAGAGGGGGAGGGCAGGGTCCTCTGCCCAGCTGCACACCCCCAATCCCTGTCATCACTCCTCTCCCTTTTTCCTTCCCCTCCTGACCCCAATCGGTGCCCCCCAAAATAGGGCTCATTGTCTTTCCCTTCCCCCTTCCTCTGTCTCCAGCCTAGAGCCCCCCGCTCAGGACAGGCCTCACACAGGGACGGAAGTTCTATCACGGAAAAAACCACGTGTGGCTCAGGGTCCCTGTGGGGGTTGGGGAACAAATTTAGAAAGAACTTGGGCCCTGAGCCAGGAGCCGGAGCTCTGGGCCCTTCCCCCTGCTGGCCTTCGCATGGCCCCTCCCAGGCCCCTCCGATAGGCCTGCCTGGATGACCCTGGACTCCTCCCAGCCTGGAAGCCGCCTTCCAAGGAGGAGCAAGGTGGCCGTTTCCAGCCACACCAGTGCTGCTGGCATTTAGCTCAGGACCCTGTAGTCCCAGGGACGCCCCGCTCCTCCCAACGGCCAGGCCGGGCCTGATGGGTTCCAGCTGTATATTCCTCATCCAACCAGAGGGACCATCAGGGAAACACCGGTCGTGGGTTGGGGGTTTCCATTCTCTCCAGGAGCCAGGCCTAGGGCTCCCCTCCCCTGTGCAGGGGGTGCTGGGGGGCCCGATCCCCGATCGTCGAGGCCGCGGGGGCCGCACACACCATGTAGCATGCCAGTGCTCTTCAGGCCCACGCCCCGGCCTTTATGGGACCAGAGCGTAAGGAGGTTGGCTGTCCAGGCCCTGTAGCCCCAGCATGGAGGTTGGGGTCCTTTGGGGGCCTCAGACTTTGAGTCTGGGTGCTTCTTCTGACACAGAGAGGACCCTGGAAGGGGAGGCCCTCAGGCAAATGCAGGCTCACCGGGCCCTGGAAAACCTGCAGCGAAGCCTCTGCCCTGCCTCCAAGAGCACCCAAGGCTGGAGCTGCTTCTGCCAGAGGCTGGCCCAGCAAACCCTCCGGCCAGAGGCTGGCCCAGCAAACCCTCCGGCCAGAGACCCCTGCGGAAAAGGGACTTGCTCAAGGGCCTCAAGACCTGGCCCTATGGGTCAAAGGTGAATCTGAGCCCTGGGTCAAGGCCTCGCCCCCTGCACTTTCTCCCATCTACAGGGGTGAAGGGAGCCTCAGAACCCCAGCTCCCAGTGCCATCACCATCTCCTGTGATGCCCAGGGCCACCCCCAATCACACCCATTCCCATTCCAGGAGGGCTTCCCTCGCGCCTCCCCACCCAACCCAGCCCCGCCGCTGCGCCCGGAATTCACATCCATCACCCACAAACACAGTCCATGTTCTCAGCCTCTGAAAGGACTTCACCCTCACTGCTTCCCCCAGCTCTCACCAGCAAGGCTGTTTCCCCCAAACCGTGGGCACCCTCCCCGCTCCTCCTCCCAAATTCCCCATAAGTGTTCACTTCACCGGACGATGCCTCCCACGCCCGGGCCCTCCGTCCTCCCCCACCAAGTCCTTCTCCCTAACTTCCCAGCAGTGTCCACACCCGGTCACTCAGGCAGCTCTGCTCTTTCTGCCCCTAGAGGCTTTTGCTACAGTAACCATGTGCCCCCGAGGCTCAGCTGTCCACTCACAGTCCCATCCCAGTCCTTGCAGCTCACACCCTCCACCTCGCCAGTCCGTCACCCATGGGCTCCTCACTCTGTCCTTCCCTCCCCACCCATGAGCCTGGCACTCCCTGCAGGCACCCTGGCAGGACCACACCAGGCACCCGGGTCCACTCACTGGCCATGCCTCCTAAGTCCTTTCCTCGTCCTCTCCCCTGCCACTACCCCCATCCTGCCTCCTAGCCCACACCTGAGAAACCAGGATCAGCAGCAGGGGCTCCCAGCGTCTCCTCAGCGCCCCCGCGTCTGCGCCCACCAGCCCTCCTGAGCACACCCCCGCTGTGCTGAGACCCAGCCACCTGCTCATTCAGTGACAGCCCAGCCCCTGGTCCGTCCTCCACCCCTCACCCCACCGGGTCATTCCCATCAGCCCTGAAACCTCCATTTCTCCTACCTTAAAAAAAAAAACACAGGTCAGGTGCAGTGGCTCACACCTGTAATCCCAGCACTTTGGGATTTGCTGGACAGAGCCCAGCACCTCGGCTCTGTCCCTGAAGATATCAGCTCGGAGACTCCCATACCCATGAGATCCCAGCACCATGGGCTTGTCTCGCCCAACAGGTCCCAGCTTGCCCAGCTGTGGCCTTGCGCTCCAGGGAGGAGAGCTCGCCGACAGGCGTCTCTGAGGACAGTGACAACTCGCAGCCAGGCCATCACCCCTGCATGCTGCAAGCCGAGGACAGTGACACCTGGCAGCCGGGCCAGCGCCCCTGCATGCTATGAACTGTTGCCTGGCTTTGAGGTCTCATCTGCTGGAAATGGCCCCAGCTCTGTAACTGCGACCATGGCATGTCCTGGGCCTCCAGGGCTCCTGTCCCTGGTGCGCACGGGGAGGTGAGAGGTGCCCTCTGGAATTGCAGGACAAAAACAAAGCAGCTGACCTGTGTCTTAGGGTACTGAATCCCAAGGGTGAGGGCTTCCTGCCAACCTCCCCCAGAAATTGTATCAACCTCCTCTAGAAATTATTATATCCTCCCCCAGAAATTGTATCAACCCACCCCCAAAATTATTATATCATCCCCAGCTGCTGGTCACAGACAGGGCGGAGCAGTCCAAGGAGGCTGTGGCCCGTAAAGCCCCAGGTACCGGCTCCACAGCACGAATGCCCGTGTCCATCTGAGCTGCATCCAACCCCAGGGCAGGCACAGACACATTCCAGCCTCCACATTTACCAAAACGCCTTTTATTTACATACGAGAAAATCTCACCATGTGTCCAGCTGGCCTCGTCACGGCCGCTGAAGGCGGCGCTGCTGGGCGAGGAGTGCTGATTCCAAGGGTGAAACAAGGCCACAGGGGCACCTGGGCTTGTTCTGGCCACACCTGTGACTTGGGCTGCAGGGTGAGGTGGCTCCCTCCACACAGGCCCCAGGACACCCACCATGGCAGAGGCCAGGCTGCTGCCCCCACATAGCCTCCACGGGGTCACGGGTCCATCTCCACAACCCCAAGACAGTAGCAGTGTGCCTCACTTTTGCCAGGCTGAGCCAATGAAGAGGCCCCGCCCTCTCCCCTTGGAAAACAGGTGGTGTTTTCCTAACCCAGGAAAACGGAAAATGAGCACACTTTCTGTGGCTGTGAAAGTACAAGGAGAGGCTGTGCCCTCGGAGCCACTGCGTGGATGGCAGACAAGGTCTGGGAGCCTGCTCCAAGGAGCAGGAAGCAGGGGGCCACGACCCCAGGACAGGCCCAGCCACAGCCCCGGGAGGAGGGACCGCCCTGTATACCCAGGTCCGGGAGCCTCTTCTGGCTGAGCAGGGCCGCGACTCAGCAGGGCCCTGGAACCCGAGCAGGCCTGGAGGACCCTCACAGCGGGGCAGGGGCGGGCACACTGGGGAGGGGCAGCTCCAGGGCCGGCGTCTCCGCAGCCTGCGCTGGGCTGGGCTTCCGGTGGTCCAGTTGTTCCAGCTTCTCGCCGAGCTGGGAGTAAAGCTCCTTCACTGCCTCTCCACTCTGCGGGGAACCACACCATGGGGCAGGTGAGGCGCATGGACAGGCGCAGGGGGTGTGGGGCGGGTGCCCACCGACCACACACAGGCACTGCAGGGACAGCTTGGCAAGCACACACGGGGCCGGTAGGGGCCAGGCACCTTCACACAGCAGCCCCCCGGGCACCCACCTGGCCTGTGGGCTCCAGGGCCTTCTGCAAGGCCTCCAGCTTAGATGGGGCCACCCTGGGGTGCAGGTGAATGAGAAGCCGCAGCGCGTGCCGGTGCACGTTCTCCTTCCTAGAAAAGGCCATGCAGGGCTGGGGCGGGAGGCAGGCCCTGCTGTCTGCCCAGGCCAAGCCCGGATGCAGGTGGCCAAGGCCCCTGGAAACAGGACACGGCCAGCCTCCGGGACCCTCCCCAGCTGTACCCAAGCACCCTGCAGGGCCACATGCGGGCCCTGGTGCCCAACACACCCACCTGGGGACCCTCTGCCCCAGGTGGGGAACAGCAGCCACCTCTCAGGCTGCGATGGACAAGAGCTGAGGACAGAGTGGGCCAGATGGTGCCCAGGAGGCCTACCTCGGAGAGGCAGTGAGGAAGAAGCCATCGAAGAGGCTGCTGCAGAAGTCCTCGAGGGCAAATTCGTCGGCCAGCAGCGCAAGGCTGCCCGTGAGCAGGTGGAGGAAGATGTCGCCAAAGGCCAAGTCGCCAAAGGTCTCCACTGCAGACACAGCAGGCATCAGCCCAGCGCCACCCACCCTGCCCACCTCAGGGCACCTTTGTCCTCAGAGACCTCAGAACCTGCTTCTGGGGGTGCTCACATGGGGGTTCTTGGAAGTTCTGAGGTGGGAAGCACAGGGTCTCAGCAGGTGAAGAGGCAGGTGGGGGGTGGACAGGGCGGGGGGGTGGACAGGGCAGGTGGGTGGGGTGGGACCCTAGGCGGGGAAGCAGAGCTGCGGCCTGGGGACAGGACGAGGGGTAGGGGGAGGAGGCGACAGAAAAACAAGGTGCTCCTCCAGTCCCTAAAGGCCTTGCCCAGTAGCCGAGCCCAGGAGAAACAAGCCTAACAAATAAAGGGCCTGGCACCAACTCCATAGAGTTCTCCCAGACTACCAACTACACTGTGCCACAGGAAGGAGAACGAAGCACTTTCACATTCTTTTTTGAAGCCAGACACCAAAACACAACAAAGACAGCAAGCGTGCCCACAGATGCCTCACATACGACCGCAGCACTGACGCCACGGCGCGCAGCACCCTACACTGGGCCCCTGCAGGAGGGAGGGTGGCCGCCCGCGGACTGATGCCCGTGGAATGACGCCAGGAGGAGCTGTGGCCAGGCCACACGGAGGTGACATGTGCGGACGGGGCAAGGGTGGCCTTCCTAGTACCCCGGATGGCGCTTTCCGAGGACAGACCCAGCTGGCGCGACCTGTGCCCACGGAGTGACAGAAACCAGGAGACCCAGGAGACCCAGGAGACCAGGAGACCCAGGCCCCCAAGGTGCCTGCCTGCCAATCTCCCAGGGCCTTGGCCGGCCCCGTGGCCGGGTGGCCACAGAATACGTGGCAGGCACACAGTCCTGACCAGGGGATCCAGCAGCAAGGCCCCACTGGGCAAATGCCCTGATTCCTGCAACTCCAGGGAACCCAAGACTGTGAGACAGGAGAGGGGACGGCAGGCGCATCCCAACCCTGACGGGGCCGTCTGCACAGCAGACAGGAGACACCTGGAGAAGTGCAGCCACTGCCAGACAGTCAGCAGAGGAGCAGCAGTGAACCTGGCTCAGATGTGACAGTGGCCTGCGGTCACTGTTTTTTATTTTCTTGAGACGGAGTCTCGCTCTGTTACCCAGGCTGGAGTGCAGTGGCGTGATCTCAGCTCACTGCAGCCTCCACCTTCCAGGTTCAAGCGATTCTCCTGCCTCAGCCTCCCTCAGCTGGGATTACAGGCAGGCACCACCACGTCCAGTTAATTTTTCTATTTTTAGTAGAGATGGGGTTTCGCCACATTGGCCAGGCTGGTCTCGAACTCCTGACCTCAGATGATCAGCCCACCTCAGCCTCCCAAAGTACTGGGATTACAAGGTGAGCCACTGAGCCTGGTCAGTTTTTTACAGGCATTTAAAGGCAGTCTTGTTTTTTTTTTTTTTTTGAGACGGAGTCTCACTCTGTCGCCCAGGCTGGAG